AGGTGTAGAATAAGGAACTGTAGTTTTCCACGCGAAGGTGGTAAATTGGACTGTACTGTTTAATACATCAGCAAATGCGAGTAGGCACTAATCGGTTATGTGATAAGACTGGTAAAAGCTATACATAATCCTCTTTGTATCAAACGGCACTTGTATTTAATCTAATTTGTACCTTTTCTGATTATCTTTATTAAATGTTCTGTGGTGTGGAAAACAAAGTTGGAACTGTTATTTAGCATCTTCAACTCCCCTACTACATATATATATATGTGTGTGTCTGTGTGAAGCATTACAGCTTATGCGCGACTTCTGTGCCACCCTGTAGATTATCAATAAATTCACGTCATTATCATTATCAATATCATGTTATTATCAATAAATAACACATATATTATGATCGCATTTTTGTGCAAAAAATCTAAAACGTTTGGAAAAGTATCCCTTATAATTTTTATTTCATGATCGTTGCGCAGTTAAAAGGCAGCATGAATTTATAATTAGTAAATAAATATGTTACTCGGATTCTGTTTGAACTTTCGCAATATAAAGTTTTCTATTCCTCCAACATATTTTAAGCCTCTGAGATATCTCTTCAAATTTTGGACTCTAGTTCCCTTTTAAGACGTTGCTTAAGGAAAACTTCGGCCAAATATGGTTTCACAAATTGTCATGAATGTTTGAAAATTTAATTAAAGCAGGCAGACCTCGACGCTTCTCCCGAAAGCTACTATTTATTTCGAGTTTCAATGACATTTAGATGTAAAATTCTAACAGAATGCCTCCAGTCATTTATCTTTTTTTGAAGTAGACGTCATTCAAGATGAATTCAGATTTCCTATTAAACTGCGGCAGCAAACTTTAATGTGTAGAATTTTAGCCTTCTCTGGTTTCTCTTGGAGTGTTAAATATGAAGATGGCCGCTTTACTGATAGCAATTTGCTGATTCTGTATTGCCGCAGATCGAGCGCTTCTCCCGATTTGGCGAAGCTCCAGGCTGTCTCTGATGTCGAAATGTCGGACCTATTATGTAAATGAAAGGCGTAATAAAATGCCAAAGGAGAAACAATGCATTTATTCAAACAATTTTACTCAAATTTGTATTGAGTTTGATTCTGCTCAGTTATTTACGTTCTTCATCTACACCCATAGCTTTCACGTGTGGTGAAAATGATTTTCTATCCGAGGATGGTAAATGGAAAGGACTTTACTGCTAGAGTTCAAACAAGTAATAATACGTTATGCCATCATATGTAACAAATAATTGTTTACAGAACAAAAATTTATATTATTATCTGATAGGACTTTGAAACTTGTGAGTACAGTTTGCGTGCTTTTCGAGGACCCTTTCTTTTGCTTCTTTTCATTCGTTTGTAGAGCCCATGGAATCGATTCGTAATGTGTTCTTTCTCTTTACTATTATCGTGTTTTATAAATTTAAACATACGCGTCTCCTCATTTAATGTATGGTTATCTATATGGTGTAGTACACAAGAATCTGATGACTTTTATAAAAAAAAATGAATGCTATTAATTGTTACGCAAATGTTTATTTATCTTACGAAATAAGAATACACAACGCCTTTTGTTACAACATTATTTATTATTTCTTCACTTTCTAGTTTTTTTAACTGTATACGTTTCGAATGTTCTTTACCATTTAAGCTACACTTCTCGGATTTGTCATGCAGGTTTGGCATCGTTGTTTGGACAACATTGATTGGTATAACTGCAATTAATTTTTGCAGTTTTACATCGACTGCGTCAGTGTTATTACTACAGTGCTCCTTAATGCACATGTCAAATTTCAGATAACCGCTGAGAAATTAGTCTCTTGCTAGCAAATCATGAGAACGAGCAGGTCATGGAATGTTTTCTCGTTTAAATGTCAGACTGCAAGGAAGCATTTGCTGAAGTACAGTCATGGGTTCTTCGGCAATCTGTGATGTTCACTGTAGCTTATTGGGACCTAAATATTTGACCTAATTTAAAAACGTGTAAAGTACGTTTCATGGTATTGGTTCCTATTCCCAAATCGTCAGATTTCCGTGCCCCTTCTATGATATTTAAGTATGCTACTTCCTGTGTTGTTATTTAACTTTCACAAACATTCGCTATTCATATGCTGTCTATGAGTTTTATTAATCGCCAAAAAACCCATTTACAAGTAAAAAAAATGTAATACTAGATAAGTAACATGATTTTCAGTTTTACCGGTATTATAATCATTAGGATGCAGAAAAAGCGGAGTAGGCCTATGTTTGATTGTTTTAAGATAAATAACGACAATCAAATAGTAAACTAATGAAGGAGTACAGCGTAATAATTAGGCAAAACCGTATCGCTTGCTGCAATTTTGGTAGAAATCACTCCAGTTTTTTCTGTTTTCCGAAAATCAAAAGCTATTTCTTAAACGTTCTTGCAGTAAAGTTTTGAATCCTTGGCTTTAACATTAACAACTTTGATTTACGATTCTTTTAACAATTATAAAAGTGCATAATTCATTTTTATTTTAGCGTGTGTAAGCTTTTATTTAATATTTATTTTGTACACGAAAAATTACCGGTATCTAAAAGATTAAGACAAAGATTTGTCTTGAACAAATTTCCCATTTGTAAGCATAACCAAATTTTTCCAACAAAATATGTTCTCGTCGAAATTCACAATATTGTACTCGAAATAATAATAATAAACCCGTTAAAACTGTATGTTCATCATGAAGAAGGAAAAAGAAATTTAACTAGGTGATTAGAAAAATTATAAACGCGAATAAAACAGCTAATGTAAGTGAGGTGTAAGAAGGTGAAAAGTTTATTCTTTAGATCTAATTACGTTTTTATATAAAAAATTGCGTTACTTAATGACTAATGTATTTCTAGGTATCCTTCTTTGTTACATCCTCTTAGGATTTGAATATAACTTAGGAATTCGTATTCAGAGATGGTATAAAATACTACTTTTATTTAAATGTTCAAAGACTGAGTGAATTGCTTAAAGCGATAAAAGTTTATTTAAATAAAGGTTTTATTAAAGTGAGGAAGGCGAAAGCAACGTCTTGCAATTCGTATTTCTTAGCTTCTTAATTGAAATTCATGCAGTTAATAGACACCTACTTATCTGCATATGGGGGTAGAGATCGTTTCATACTGTCCATGATCACAGTATTTTGATTCATTAAAAATATTTTAGCATTAAAAATAATTTAAACTTTCTGCAATGAATATTAAATGATAATATATCAAACTGATGTAATTTAAAACACAGCTATTTTGATTACATATATTTGATAAACGCTTATTCATTATTCAGTCATATTACACATATGAAAAGTTATTATTAGTCCAAATGGGCTTTGTCCCTGAAGGACTATTACTTTTGTTTTGCGATTTTGCGTTGAATCACTATAAACGGCGAATCACTTTTCAAACTGTTGCCACCAAATGTTATAGTCCTGCATTATATTTGAAATTAAATAATGAAAAATCTGCATAAATGTATGTATATTTTTCGCATTGAGATAAAACAACGGTACATAGAGGCATCGAATTTTGAATGACATAATCCTCCTACGAATGCGGGCATGTGGAAGACCAAATTTGAAATTTGGAATTTGTTTTATGATCGATTTCATGTTTGGTAAAACTTTAACGAATTTTTGAGTAACAAACTCAACGATTTAAAAGCGAGCAATGGCAACACTCTACGGAGGAAAAATAACCTTTTTATCTCCAGGGCGCAGAACTGTGTATCGGAAAATCTAAAAATATGCTCATTTTAAAATTGTTTTGCGACATTTCTGTTGAACTGAATTGTAAGTGCAAAGAACATGATATTTAATAAATAAAGGTATTTCTCCCGCCTTCTTAGAATGCGTTCTTGATGTAGTGGTCAGCATGCTAGACGAGAATTCAAGAGGTCCGTGGTTCGAGTCTCGACGAGGGCATTGCTCATTTTTCACATCTCTTGTTTCGAAATAACCTAATGTCTCTACAGTGGCGCCCGAACTAAAAGGTGGTGAATGAGGATTCTTCAAAACCAGGATTTGGCGATTAAATCCCCTAAAACCCCAGTCGCCCTTTAGAAGGGGGGGAAGTATATAAAGTATTTCTCCCGCCTTCGTAGCATGCCTTCCTGGTGTAGTCGTCAGCAAGCTCGACGCGATTTTGAGAGGTCCGTGGTTCGAAGCATTGCACATTTTTCACATCTCTTGCTTCGAAATAACCTAATGTCTCTACAAAGGTAACACATAAACATTAAAAAAACGCCCTTTTGACGTAATATAAAATCTGAAATTTTTCAGATTTTTTTAATATTATTCAATTTTAATTGAGGCAAATAATATGAGTTAGCTACGTGCCAATAAGAATGCCTGCCAGTGTTTTCTACAACACGAGTTCTATAAGACTACGGTAATAAGAGGTTTTTTTTTTTTTTTTTTTTTTTTTGGAAAAAAAATCTATTGATTAACATTTTTCCTAATGATATGCATAGAAATGCTTGTCACGTAATGCCTTAATATAAGAAACCTTTTTCTAAATGCTAATTTATTTTCTAGTTACGTACAAATGCAAACATTTCGCTGTTCAATTTACGTACTGCTCCTGAATATAGTTCCCGATTTTTGTATCAAACATTTTGGTCAATTCTTGTCGTATGGAAGTCAAAGTTTTCGTATTTTATTTTTTTTATAACCAATACAAAATTTTCCTAAAAACGTACAGAGACCATAGGCGAATATAAAATGTTAGATTTTGTAATTTTAATAATTTTTTTTAAATTCAAAAGTCTCAAAACATTAACCATTGCATCATTTAAAACACTTTTATTAGTCTTTTCTATGAATTTGCTGTGTAAAATTTCTGATCGCAAACATATACAAAAGGCTTAAGAAAAAAGAAATTCATTTATAAATTGATTTAAAATTCTGTGGATATCGAATGCTATAAAATTCACAATCAAAATGCCAATTAAGTGCTAATAAGTTATAAAAGTTATTTTGTTACCTGAACTGAAGTATTCTCTAATGTAATGTAAAAATTTTCTCTGGTGAGGTTCTTCATGTAAGATGATTATTATTCCATATCTGAAAGACATAGTTTATTTACATGGCTATAAAACAATCTTTGCAAATGTATTACTTTTATAAAGATTTGAACAACAAAATTGGTATTACCTTCTTACCAAGATTCCTGTTTATAATTTTAAAAAAACGTGAGAAATTTTACTGTTCAAAATTCAGCTGTTAGATATCCAGTGATACAGATGTTTGGTTATAGTTTAAGTTGCAAACACAGTGCGTCTGCAAAGCTTTAGTACTACGTTCGTACAAAACTGAATATTTTCATGAATGAAGTTCAAAAACCCACCACCAGGGGGAAATGGCGCTGTACGCAATATTTTTAAACGAAATAAGACATGAACACATCAATTTAAAATGTGTAATCATTTCTGTTTAAATGTGTAATCAGTAATCGTTTCTGAAACGTATTACAAAGCATGTTCAATGTGACGTCCACCCTTTTGCGAAAGCAATTCGTGTTACTGCATTCTCAAAGGCAGCTCTTAGCATATCAGGAGGAATGTTACGGACATGTAGGTGTATTGTATCTTTCAATTACGCCAAATTGCTTAGATTATTTGCATAAATCATTTGCGGAAAGACGCCGATGGCTTGTAATTGGCTTACGGCAGGAAAATGCCTTAAGCCAATTGCAAACCATTGCTGTTTTGCCTCGCCCCACAAACAGTTTCATTTTAGAAACAATTAAAACGTTTTAAACCGATATTTTCATGTCTTAGGGCCGAATTCAGGGTTCAAGAAGCACAAATTAGCGATTTGTAAGAAAACGATTTCCGGAATGCGCACTCTTTTGCGAGTAATTTGCGTTCTCACATTTTCTAATCGCTAATTTGTGGTTTTCACGGACGAATTTCTCCATTACACTGATGGCGCACTCGACTTTTATCGCCCTTAAAGCCTTTAAATTGTCGTTTTGTTCAAATCAGTGTTTCTTAAGGGTATACAAAATGTTAAACTCGTGTAACTAAAGCTTAAGTTGGATTCCGACCCTTATTTCGTTTAAGAATATTGCATGCAGCGCCATTGACCCTCTGGTGGTGAGTTTCTGAACTTTTCCTTTTGTTGAAAATAAATTCCCATGACCTCCTTTACACGATTACCAAGTTTGATAGCATTTGGTCCAGTAGTTTTTTATTTTTTTAATATTTTTTATGACCATTTGAAAGTGGAACTTTAATTGTAACCATCCTGTAAAACAAAAATAATTACTTTTCAGATAAATGTATTTTCATGTGCATGAAGTGATAACTATTCTGCGCGGAATAAATTCTTCAAAGAAATTGATGAATAAATATTAGAAATTAAAAGTTAAGAGAAATGAGAGAAACAAATGCCGATCTCTCATAAGCCGTTTAAATGTACGAAAGCTACTGTCTCAATAATTAACATTACGAGAAAACGGAAACCGGCGGCAGATGGTAGAGGTGGTGTGGTGTATTTAATTATGGCAAAGCACACTAGGGCTATCTGCCTAAGAGGAGGGATGCCTTTCGTGGAGGACTTTCTAAGGGGAAACTGGCTCGTATACACGTTACACATGTGGAAAACCACGAAAACACCCATGCAGCCAGCCCGTTCGCGGGATTCGAACCTCGAACCGAACTACCAGTGTTCAGCGACTTTACCGCTCGGCCGCTGGTGGGCCGGATGGTAGAGGACGAAATGACACGATTTGGAGTTGAGGTCGAAATGGGAAAGAATTAAACGGAATAAGGCTTTTGCTGACAGGAACCGATAATGAAAAAAATGCAAATCGTCATCAGCTACAGCAGTATTCACTAAACCCTTTATGATACTTTTTTTTTAATCTCATGAATGTAATGCATTTTATGAATGGACTTGTCTGTCATAAATATATTATAAATTATATATTAAAGATATACTTATATTTCAGGGTGTTTCGTTTTTTTAATTGAAGAGAATATTTATTTGTGTTTAGTTGGCTGTATTTTTTTTAATTAAAACAACTACTACTTTAGAACTGCTAATAACCGTATGCACGAATAGTAAATCACGAATTTGAAGAGACCAGAAGAGACTTCCAGTGTCATGCAGTTATGAACGTTTTCTTCGATTTGCTGAAATAGTTTAATTAAATCACTGTTAGTATTATCAGTTGTTTAAATAAGTATTGTTATATGCGACTGTCAATATTGTTTACGAAAATAGAATGATTCTGTCCCGTGCTTGAATTTCTTAAAGTCTGTCAACCAGATTTAAATCTTTCCCATCGACATCATTGTTTCTCAGAATCGTTGTTTTCTTTATAACGCATACGGTACTATAATTGTATGGTGAATTTTATACGGTACAAATATGATAATTTTGTTTTACTGGCCATCTAATTCGACGAGACGTACACATTCAGAAGTCACTGAAAAATGTTATTTTATTCTTGATATTGGGATAGCATACGTATTATTTTGAAGCCTCGAGTCTGTAAATACATCCTTTTACGCTGATCTTTCTTAAATTCCTACCCTAAAAATGATTTCGTTTCTGAGAATACAAATAAATATCACTATTAAATTTCACTACCTTCACGGAAAATTTAAGAACAAAATTATAGAGAATCGAGAGTGGTCGTTTCTAGAAACGGTTCACTGTATTCGCAATTACTATAGGAAAACAATGTAAAATGCAGCACATTTTGCGTTCCTAGATCTTGAATTAGTAAAATACCAGCTGCACTACCCGGCTTTCTTTCGGGCAAACATGATATTACCAGCGAAAGCGTCTGTCAAATATATATTCTCAGCTTGGCGGCGTTCTATCTCGAGTTTTTCATATTGTACCCGCATTATACGAACCTTCAAATAACTTCACGTTAAGCTGCTTTTACGCTTTTCAGGTATGGAATAAATTTATCTTCTGCTTTGTCTTAACTTGTAGATGATGCCTTCAGAAGCGGATTTCTAAACACTGTCCCGAAATAATGTTTTTAAGAACGTTATTTTGTTTCGGTTTTCCTTTCTCAAATGACAGTTGGGAGATGCAATAGAAAACGACTTAAATTCTGCGTACTTGAGATTTAGTTGGTAAAAACTACTCTGTCAACAAAAATCATTCTGTCATTCTGTCTGCTCTTGTTGGAAATTATTAAACTCGTCTGCCTGTGTATTCTTCTTCATCGAGAATATTTATTTTTTAGTGCTCGGCTGATGGTCTGACACTTCTTAAGACATTCGTCTAGCGATAATTTTACAATCGTCTGACCATTTTGTCCATGTTCTGTTCCTGAGCAGGAATTTGGAAGATTCTTTTGCTTTCTTGCAATGAAGCTGTGATCTGAATACATGTGTGAATTGATTTGTAAAATTGAAAAGTAAGCGCTTTGAAGTTTAGATGTGTTAATGTTCCACACAGTACAAGTCCTGAGATATTTCAAGGCAAATAGGAGGATATTCCATGAAAATGCCATAAACTTCTAATTATATACAAGAATGCCGATCTCTCCTAAACCAATGGATGCAATATCCTAATGTCTGCCTTTGTTCGTAAGCCAGAAATATTCCTGTAAATATCCAACAGATTTTCTTGACATGTTTTCGAAATATTCCAGAATTTTAAGCTATAAACAGAAAACAAATCTGTTACCTTATCTAAGTCTAATGATGTTATCTCTTCTTGTCCAAAGAAATACATTTTTGAAATCTTTTCTTTAAAGGTTTGGTACTTCTCTATTCGAATATGCGAATGATTTTTTATTATGTAGTCTAATATTCCCATGAAGTACTTGTTATATTTATGGCATATTCCTGCGAGTGGATTAGAAGAATATTCCAAATTGGAATATGCTTCGAACATACTAAGAGCGAAAATTCCGGGAATGTTGTGAGATGATACGAGATAAAAATGGAATATCCGTGGGATATTCCGTGCTGTGTGAGACTAAAACATAGTAGAGACATTACGTAATTTTTGGAAGCAAGAGAGATTGAAAACTTAACGAAGCCTTCGCCGGGAATCGAACCTTGGACCTCTGGAATACTGGCCGAGTGTGCAGACCACCACACCATAAAGGGACGTCAAGAAGGTGAGAGAAGTACCTTATGACATAAAAGTTACAATTAAGGGACTTATTTTATTGTCTTTATTAAGACTATATTGCTGTGTTATTCTGGGATTTTGTTATCAAATTAATTTAGGGGATAATGCATGATTTAATTTCTAGTTAATATGCTTGCTGACAATGATAAGACACGTGTCCTGTCAGATTTAAGACAGTTATTCGAGTTTATGACTCAGAAAAGTGTCAAGCCTGGGTATAACTACAATGAAACTTCGGTTCACAATTCAATTCAAGGTCGTCCGAAATGTTTCTAATCCAAAACTATTTTCCTTATCGGGTTTTTGTAAAATGAATTAATTCATTCTAGATAACAGGGGGAGTGCTTATTTAAAATTTTACAGCAGTATGTAGCGTACAAGTTCATAACACAAAAATAATAGATATTTCAAATGAAAAAATAAAATAATTAATAAATATTAAATAAATAAAGCAGACCAAAATTGAATTTAATTCTACCCAAGGAGAGTGAATGGTATAAATGGGGAGGTGACGAGATAAAAAGAGTGAAATAAGCAATAATACAAAAAGAATACAAAAAAAAAACAAAAATCAAAGCAAAGATAATAATATATCTTATATTTTCAAGGAGAAAAAATTACAATGAAATAAGCTATCTCTTAAAAATATAATATCCTAATAAAAAATTAACCAACTTTCTGTTGAAAAAAAAATCACGCAAAACTTTTGAATATATTACAAACAGTGAAATGAGCAATAATAACATAAAAGAATACAAAAAAAAAAAAAAAATTCTGAAAGCAAAGTATAATTAATGATACTTTATCTTATATTTTCAAGAGAAAAAATACAATAAAATAAGCTATATCTCTTAATACAAATATTAATTATCCCATTAAAAAAGTTAACCAACTTTCCGTTGAAGAAAAAAAAATCACGCAGAACTTTTCAATATCTTAAAAACAGTGAAATG